AATATTATTTGCTTAGTTACCAAGAAATGACAATATCGTGTTAATTAATATAGTACTACAAAGAGTCTTATTCAAAAGTGAGTTTGAACAGATTTTTTTATATGGCTCTACCATATCAAGTTGATGAAGGCCTTTTCTTTGACTAATTTTATTATTTTTTTGGATGAATACTAATTCCTATAAATTAACTGCCAAGAATGTATGTAGCATATTTTTCTCTGAAAAACTACTTTATTCTTTTGGCTTGGATAAAATTTGAAATGAAATTTAAGCCATTTTAGATTTTTGTTGGGAAGGTTAGTTAGGTTCTGACTGAACTTTTTCCAAATGTTCATAAGTTTCTTTTTTTTTGGAAAATTCTCTGATACAAAAATATGCTTCATGGTTTAGACACCCATGTTGTAAAATTGTGAAAACCTATGATGCCAGAAAGAGATGATAGGTTTTAACCAATCACACCCCTGTGATTTTTTTTTTTTTGAAAATGGTAAGGAAAAATTTATTTAAGGTGGAAAGAAGTATACAAAAAGAAAAAAAAAAAAGAAGGCAACCTCTATGAATACATTAATACAAATGCATGAGAGTGCAAATGAAAAGAATGCAAATTCTGCTTTTACAATGCTTTAGGTTTTAATTCACTTCGTTTATGCTCAGATTATTTGGAGCCCCCATACTTTTGCACAAGTGAAATTAGAATTGCATTGCAAACAAACTAGGCCTTATGCTCTCAGAATATATATATTTACAACCCAAATATGCCAAATATACACCCCAACAATGATTTTTAAGTACTATTGCTTAATTACTTTTATTGCCTTTTTATTAAAGAAAGAAAATGCTAACGCATCAAGGGTTAGGTAGCACTCAAGAATCCTAAAATGCAGGTTAAAAGACAATCTCTCTCTTTCTCTCAAACAACACACATACGATGTAATTAACTTATTCTTAATCTCCATGATGGTGACTGATAGTGATGGTTTGCTTCTAAAGGGTAATTGATAACTGATTTGAGCACTTATTAAACAAAATAGCCTTTTATTTATATTATTGATGTGATTCTAAGTTTCCACTTCCACTTCACAAGTGGAAGATATTTTTCTAACTTATGTTCAAGGAATAGGGCAATATTCCTTGATGCCTTGTCAATATTCCTAGATTGTGACACCAAACCATCATTCAGCTTAACAAATTAATCCACTTATTTTCTAAAACTTTCTTTATGTGTTGGACTAAAATGCTCTTAAAATAAACGTAAACAAAATTAAGGCTTAAATTGGGCCATATGCAGAGTCACCTGTGCATGGGATCTAATTAGCCAGGTGGCAGATCATCACAATTCAGAACCACTCATTTTGAAGTTTGTTGCCTAAATATAGACTCTCTGTAAAATTTGGGTCCAATAGGGAAATTGGTACCCAACCCATCCAGAACTTGACAATCTCTTTTGCAAAACCTTGACTGAGGAACATTGTTGTGAAACAGAAGGCTAACCAGAGGGTGGGGGGATCTCATGAAAGTGGGAGGTAGAGATATTTGCATCCTCATCATTCAGACCACCAGCAACAGTCTTAATCTTCCATGTGGCCAATTATGTAGCTGCGCTCTAGCTCTAAAATTCTTGTTGTTTCCCTTAAGTTTGTGTTTGGTTGCAGTGCAAATTTATTTGCACTAGTACAAATGCATTTGTACTGCAATCAAACAAAATAATCTAACATTTGAAACAAAAATAGGTTAGAATTTACATTCAAATCATTTGCGCTGTTATGATTTTGCATCAGTGCAAATTTATTTACATTGCAACCAAACACAGCATAAGTCATAAATCAAATCTAATTTAATTTTCTATCTAAAATACAGCAAATTAATATAAATGCTTTCAAAAGTGTTGTAGGCGTCTTTCAGATGCTTAAGGTCTGTTGTTTATTTGAAAATCAAACCTAATTTTGTCTCTTAAATCAAATAAAACTTTCAGTTTTAAGACTTAACACTTAGGATAGTGGATCCCAATTTCCAAACCAAATAGGTAAATAAATTGAAGGGTAAGCTACTTCACTACTCCACCGGGGTCCCATTCAAATACCTACTCCACCTCTCTAGTTTACTTAATAACTTATACACCCTTTTGGCCACTAACTACAACTACAACGGTTTGTCAAGGAAGAGACAGACTTGAGACATAGATAAGAATTTCACCAAAATGTCCTTTACTATAAAATATTATAAGTTTTGCTTCCAATATATATGTTGAAATTGATAAAATCACCTTCACCTATATTCATGCATAAATACCAAATATAATTTTACCATCTCAGGTTTTTATTTTATTTTCTTTTTTCATAAAGCTGTTTTCAACTTTTTATAAATATATATTGTTTGATATGTACTTAATTATCAGACCAATAATAATATGATGGATTTTTTTTTTTTTACATATGTTCATATTTAAATTCTGTCTATTATTAATTGCTATCATCTCTTATTAACTCCCTTTCTCACTCCTATATAAATTCAAATTCAAATTTATTTTTATCATTAACTCATCTCATTAATACACCATTAAATTCTCCTAATCTTCTCTTCTTTCATTAACTACATTACATTTTTTTAATCTTTCTTTTTCTTTTTTCTTTTTTTTGTGAAAAGGATACTTCATTAAATTGGTGCAAGAAAATACAAAGCTAGAACACAAGGAAAAAAAAAGTAAAAAATAAAGGAACACACACATACACCCAATAACAACATGTGCTAAGACTTGACCCATAATTTTTGTGTTATAAATTAAAAAATCAAAATAAGAAAGACTTAAATCTTTTGATTGAAAGACAACAAATTCATCATCACACCACGTACAATCGCATGTTATAATCACATTAGTTAAAGGTTTTAACTTTTAACATTTTCTCTTCTTAGTGCATGTTAATCAAAATATTAAAAAATCAATCATTAAAATTATATTTATAAATATTAGCAATAATTATGCTGATTTCAAAGAATTATCACGCATATGCATATTTAAGTTGTTCTATCATTTTTTAACATTTCCTAAGTGTGTCCCAATAATTTACACTTTACATATAAGTTATTAAAGAAAGTATTATCAAATTAGATTTAATGCTATTTATAGTTATTTAAGTTGTTCTATCGTTTTTTAGCATTTCTTAAGTGTGTCCCAATAATGTATATGACTTATTTATAGTTATTTAAGACTTAGATTTAATGTTAGTAATGTAATCTAAAATTGCTTATTAGATGCTTTTATTTTTTATACTCTCAACCCTTAATGTAAAAGGAAAAATCTATGATACCAGAACAACATGATACCGGAAGGGCTTTTTTTAACAAAATACCAAAAGGGCTTTGACCAATCAAATCCCTCCCCCCATGAATTTGATAAAAAAGTGCTTGATTGGTTACCCCTTTTATGATACTGATAGATTGGCTACATGCTTTCTCTTATCATTTCATAGTAAAACCTTATGCGAAAAATAAACTTTTGAAAAGTTTAAATGTCATTCTTTTTTTTTTGCTAGCTAGGCGTAGACAATTGGAGAACACATTAGGGGTAGCCCGACCCCCAACTTAGCTGGTTGGGACTTTTAAAAGTTTTAACAAAAGTAAGGTGTTGTTTGGCAAGTCTTTTTTGAAAGATTTGACAGTTAAAAGACATGGTGAGCTTTTTCATTAAGATCTTGAAAGCCCAAAGATCGTTGGATTAGAGTCGTTCTTCATAATAAGCCCAAATCAAGCTTCTTGCAAGAAGCTGGGAAGGCAAAAAATGTGAAAAGCTCCATTTCTAGCTTTTAAAATAAGTCGTTCGCATATTTTCAGGTTGTGGTCTTTTGGTGGAAAGATCTTCCTCCAACCAAAGGGAGGAAGATGCAAATGTGAACTATCAGGCTTCTAAAAAGCCAATAGCCCATGCGGAAAGACGAGTAGTGTTTGGCAAGTTTTTTTGCACAGTCTTTTGGGCTTCGACAAGCTCAAAAGACTGAAAACTAATCTTTTCCATTTGGTAACTGAAAGCTGGAAAGATGAGAAGACGTTTGCACGGAAAGACCCAAGAAGACCGAAAGCATCAAATTTTGAGAAGCTTCAAATGAAACTATTTGGTTTTTCTACATGGTGGATAAACAATCTCTAAATGAATTTTTAAAAACTCGATAGACTGAACCAATTTCTAAATGATCTTTATTTTTAAAAACAAGACCCCAAAAACTCAATATGTCTGTTGACAATTGGGCTGGTAGAAGGTCTTTGTAAAAAGACTTGGCAAACGACACGGCACTAAAAAGTGCCTAAATAACAACTGATATGGTCTATTTGTGTATGGGTGGAATAAATAAAGTAGTGAATATGTCAACAAATAAATTGGAGGGGGTGGTCATAGCATTACAAGAAACCTAGCGGTGGTTTAAGTAATTTTCCATTAATTATATAAAGAGGTTAGAGTAGAGATCAACATCTGCTGGCTGCTTGAATTATCAGTTTTGCTCTTGCTCCCAAGTTCGAGGCTGACGTACCGCCTCAAGACATTCCAAATCAGAGTCTCGCACGTGTGCCATTTTTACCGTTCATCTTAAGTTCCGTCGACACGTACGCTCCGCTCCTGCACGTGCACAAGAAACTTCACGCTATGTCAAGGTTCAAGGTCCCCCCCC